AACCAAAATGCGTAAAACAGAGCAGGCTGAAGGGATTTGTTTTAATTAACCTTCAACGAACCTGAAACCCCACAGAGAAAAGTCAAAGTCTGTGAAACAAACAATTTCCCAGCATTCATTCTTAAACCAGGCAGAATGACTTTGTGCCAGGTCTGAAATGTTCTGGGAGGGAATGTGCACAAACACTCGATGGGTGACATTTCTAGATTTAACAAACCAATGCCACGGTTTCTCAGCGAGCTGCAGGAATCAGCTAATTGACCCCCCCACCCCCACCCCGTTCTGCCAGAGGAAGAAAATAACAAAACATAACCAAGCAAAAAGTCCCAAAACTCACATCTATGTGGTACAACTAATTAATGGAAATAATTCTTAAAGTAATTAATTGTTTTGAGCAAAAAACACATGATGTCTAAATTTTCTATTGCCCCATCACTCACCAGCCATCAGTTTAAAAAAAGTGAAAATTCAAACTTTTTTTAAAATTATGGTTTAGTTAAATAAAAGTGTTTTGTTCTTACTGCATTTGCTGATGTCACAGTTCTCCCTCTCCACCTCAGGATCTGTCGTGTAACACCAGGGTACCGGAGAGGCGTCGGGGTTACGACAGTAGTTATCATCTAAACTTTTATCAGGATACCTGAAAAACACAACATGTGTTCATTTCTTCTTGGCCACAATGTTCATGGTAAATTAGGCACAGCAGAGGTAATGCAAAAAAAACAAGGTTTTACTTTTCAGGTTGGTAGATGTGTTGATGAGGCTGCTGCTGGTCCCATCTCTGACACTCTTTGCCGTTCACGGTGTGATCAACCTGCCCTCGGTAGTCCTCGCCATTGCATGTGATGCACACATCTGCAACCAAACACAAAGTGAGCCATGGTTGGGTGTGAGCAGACAAAAAAGAAAAAAAAAAAAACAGCACAAATATTTATTTCCCAAGCTCTGTCATTTCCAAGAATGTTTCTTAAAAAGAAACTGTCACCATGATGCTAATTGTAGAGGAGGTAAAGTCGTTCACAAATTGGTAAATATCAGCATTTACTTGTAGGATCACAGCGGGCGGCAGGACAGACAGCCCATGTGCAGCGTCACAAACAAATCAGCAAGAAAATTAATGTTTTAAATTTAAAGTTTCTGCTCCAACTGCATCTATGTGTTTCTTCTGCTACAATTAAAACAAATGCTTTCCAGTTTCCTCTTGTAAATAATCAACTTTCCAGTTTGTGTGTATTTCTAAACTGTCATTGACTGGAACACTTCAGGATCCATGCTCCCCATCACAGAMATTTATACCATCTTTGCACTGGGGGATGTTGCAGCTCTCATAGCGTCGCTCGTGGTCGACGGTGTAGCACCACGGACCGATCCGATCCCCGTCTGGGTTCCTGCAGTAGTTCAGCTCTAAACCGTTAGTCGCTGAGGGAGTCCACCTGAAACAAAGCAGGTTTTAGCTGAGTGGACAGACATTACCTTATAACAGATTGTTTTTCTATTACAGTTGCAACATACAGTAGATCATCTGATAAATGCTCTGCTTTGGACACATGTTGGCTTAGGAGCACAGAAAACTCTCTATTTTCATGGTTTATCATGTAGGGATTTTTGGCAAATTGATTATTGTATTTGTTCACAACACAGGGCTTAAGTAATTACTTAATTACATCGTTCTTTAGAATGTACATCACATTGGAAAATCCACACAAACTTAGTTTTACTTGTGAGAAGACCTTAGCTTTTAGCTTGTTCAAGTTCCTTTTTTAGTTCATTGACAAAGTTTTTATTTGAAAAATAAAAGCTGACCTCCAGGCAGGCAAACCACTGTATTGACTACATAACAAAAATGTTTTGTTTCAACTAAAAAAGTTGAAACTAACTAAAAATAGCTAAAAAGTAGCAGAAATTTACAAAAACATGAATTGTGCTGAAAAAAGCTCAAAAGAGCTAAAAGTAGCAAAAATCACAAAACGGCTGAAATAAGGCAAAGAAAAAAGCATAAAAAGCTTAAAATAGCATAAAAAAGGCACAAAAGGAGCATAAAAATTTTAATTAGCAGAAGAATGGTAGAAAAGTTCAGAATGATAGCTGAAATTAGCACAAAGATATATACTGTATATGAAGAAGATGAACACAAACAGACAAAACTAGACCAAAATATGAAAGTACAATAAAGATTTATAAACAATTTTAAAAAGTTTTAAGGATGTTGAAGGCAACTCTGGTAATTTACAACGAGAAAAACATGGCCGGATGGTGCTGAACATTCTGATATATAAAGTATTGAAATGGCACAAAGACTGTGGAATGAGTTACATGCAGAAATGAATGAATACACTGCAAAAACTGTCCATCTTACCAAGTTTTAAAATCTTATATCAGCCAAAAAGTATTTTTGATCTCATTTTGAGACTGATTTACTAAACAAGAACTGYTTGTGTAAGAATAATAATCTTGTTTTCAGAATGTGTKAGATTATTTGTCTTGTTAGTCTGGAAATTTGCCTCAAATTAAGTCAAAATTTTCTGCCAATGGAGTAAGAAAATTTTACTTGGTAAGGTTCTTGAAATAAGAAAAATTTGAGCCAAATCAAGTATTTGAAGAATCTTACCAAGTAAAATTTTCTTACTCCATTGGCAGAAAATTTTGACTTAATTTGAATCAAATTTTCAGACTAACAAGACAAATAATCTTACACATCCTGAAAACAAGATGATTATTCTTACACAATCAGTTCTTGTTTAGTAAATCAGTCTCAAAATGAGATCAAAAAGACTTTTTGGCTGATATAAGATTTTAAAACTTGGTTAGGTGGACAGTTTTTGCAGTGTACCTACAGAACAAAAAAGGACTTTATAGTGTGAATGCTTATTAAACATTCACAACAAATAATTTAAGAAAATAGTTTAAGGCAACAACCTCTGAGGCTTTCTGAAGGTCAGAAATTCTTTGTTTTTTAACATTGGATGTTTTTAAATTCCATCTTAGCATGGTGAGCAGTTCATCTGAACATTTTAGTAAAACTTGAGGACAAATCTAACTTTGTAGTTATATTAAGACAGACTTAAAGGCTAATTTGAAGATTCAAGATAACAACAACAACAACAACAACAACAACAACAACAACAACGTGTCCCACCTGTGATCATGAGGAAACTTTGACCACCACTGTTGGCAGCGGAGTCCACTTTTTGTAGTGAAGACCTTCCCTCGGTAATCTTCGCCTTTACCCACAATGCACTGCCTTACGTATACTAAAAGAAAAAGGAACAAAATCAAACTCTGATGTGCAACACAGGTCTCTGTAGTGATGTCAGCTCACATCTGCCTCACCTTTCTTCTCGTAAAGGTCACAGTTGACGTTTCTCTTCACTTCGGCATTGTTTCCGTCTGCCACCCAGGGCAGGTGCTTACAGGTGACAGTCGGACGAGTCTCATAGTTAAAAGCTCTGCAGTGAGAGAACGGATGTGACAAAAACAACTTACAGGAAGACACCGTCTTTTAAAAAAGTTATCAAGGTTTTAGGCGTGGAAATTAAGAACGAAACAGCGTAGATTTTCATCAGGCATTTCAAGAAAACTTTCGTAACATCTTAAGTGTAATTTCCGAGCTAAATTTCATTTTTCACATCTTAAAGTTCACCTGCTAGACACTTAAAAGTGGTCAGGTGTCACTTCTTGCCATTTAAARGTGCCACGGGGAAAATTAGCATCCTAAATGAACACTAGGCAGAGAAGGCCGTGCACGGCTGTGATTTCCACTCTAAGGGCAGTAATTAAGACATTTAAGGTGACAGGAAGCGTTAAAACCAGCCTGGAAGAGGACTGTGTGTGCATCTGAATGAAGTGGGTGGTTTTRCTGCATGAACGACAGCATGCTGAAGGGAAGCTACTGTCTATGCCTCACAGATTGTGGCCATTCATAAAACTGTACAGGACTTATACGAAGATGTTCAAATTTACCTCAAAAATGAAAAAAACATTGCTGTTTGAAGTGAGCCTATGAGCTGTGAGGAGGTAGATTTAATCACATGTGGACAAAGGCTCATGAGAAAGCAGTGGTTTTCCAGGATTTGCAGTGATTTACCTGCAGTCTAGCGACTGTGAACAGTGGGTGGCACAGTCCTCCAGGCTCAAACCGGACAACAGCTGCACCCGAGCAGCGTTCCAGGGGGTCGGGACCAGCTCTCTGCCCTCAGAGCGCTGGAAGTCATTCAGAGGACTCCGGTAGCCTGTACATGTACGACAGAAKCACTCATTTAGTGCTCATAAACTGAACGAGGGGAGGCATCATTTCTCTGTCTCCTCAGTTCTGGTCCAAACAGAGCACGGATCAGCGGTACCACCTGGGACATTTGGGCATGAGCCATTTAACCTTTGGACCAGGAATCTGCTGCTGTGTTGTGATTGTTGAAGACCCGAAAGGGCTTCAAACAGCAGCATAGTTTAAACAGACTTATAGTCTGTAATTCCTTTGAGCAAATTGAAAATTCATGTCCTTTTTATTATTTTATACATATAAATATCTATAATTAAAAATTATAGTCACCCTCATTTATGCTCCTAAGTTAAAGCAAATAAAACATTGTAGTTTAAAACAATTTTAAATTAAATCAGGGTCTCACCAGTGTTCAGTCCCGCAGCCAGAAGAATAAAAAGCAGAATAAATTTCATTGTTTGTTCCAGTGGAAGAAAAGCTTTTTATATAAGAAAACTAACTGAAGTTTGAGTTGAGGGGTGGTCTCTGCTCTGATGGATTTCTTCAACGAGGGGCTCAGATGGTAAATATCTAACAAACTCAGCAGATAAATAAAAAATAATAATACGTTCAGTCAGGATGTTAGAAACCCTCAGTGAAAGTCAGAAAACACGAGGTTCAGAGTAAACCACGACCACCCACAGCTGAACACTGAGCTCCTGATCAAACAGTGCTCTTCATCAGCCCAAACAGCCAATCAATACACCGATTAATCATTAATAAAGTCAGGCAGCAGCTGTGAGGAGGTCGCAGTTCTGTCCACTGACTCTAGATGTCAGTAGGAAAACTTCAAGACATTTTTTTTTCTTCTTCTTCTTTTTTATTTTTATTTTTGAGGCGTTAAACCGAAACTTCAGCAGCTTCGCTGATCTGATTATTTCTCTGATTAATCGTCGCGGGACGCGTTCAGGTGAGAACAGTCACCTGATTAATCGTCGTGTTTGGGATGAAACGTGCAGAAATATCAGTCAGGAAGTTGATCTGTACTAAATTAAAAAAATATCTGGACTTTGACCAGACTCCAGCACAAACTCCTGCACTGCGAGATGAGTGGAGAACAAACGTATACAACAAAGTTTGTATAAGTTGTCTCTAAAATTTAGAGACAACTTAAACAAACTGTGCAAATTTTTAAAAAATAAAATAAAATWAATAAATAACTTGTTGCTGCTTATCAACAGAGTGCACTGCAAAAACAGACAATTTCTTAGTTTAAAAATCTTAAACACGCATGCGCAAAGCAGCTGCGTTCACATTTGTTGGTGATGTAAACACCGAGTTTGCTATGAAAACACCATTGGAAKCCATTCAATTAAAATGATATATTAACGCCATTATATTGACCCCATGTTTTTGCACRAAACCGATTCTTGTTAAATGTTTCTTTAAGATCTTTGATGAGATTTTTCATAAATAACTTTTAAGCTTAAATAGCTTTTTGAGCTTGTTAAATTTGCTTCCARGCATACCAGTTTTATATAAGATCAGACCTCAAAGTGTGTGTTTGTGAATGACTCTCAGCTACTACCACAGCGAATTATAGCTCAATATCTGAGCTTTAGCCATTAACATCAGTTAGTTGTGGCGGCCATCTTGGATTAAACTGAGCCCAGGTTACAAGTTGTAGATGTTCATTAAATTTCATTTAAATCCACCCAGTCTTTCATGGGATATTTTTCTAACGGATACTCGCATGTTCTCAACCAAGGACACTGCAGTTTATGAATAATAATAAATAAAAAGTTTAAAAGCTTAACAGATGTAAGAAATTCTCTGGAAACCACAAGAATGTAATTTCAAATAAAAAAAAAGCTGCTTAACAAAATGACCAAACTGTTCTTATGTGTAGTTTAGGTATTTTTATATCACACATCCGCACCTCCTCTGCAGGATGGCAGCTGTTAAGATGACGGAGGGCAGCGTGCAGGTGGAGGGCTGCAAAGCACCACTTTTCTACAGACAGAGCGGGCCTGCCTCTGGAGACGCCAAGCTGTCGGTTCTTCTTCTTCACGGCATCCGTTTCTCATCAGAAAACTGGCTCAACATTGGCACTCTGGAGACTCTGGCCAAAGCCGGCTGCCGTGCAGTCGCCATCGACCTGCCAGGTGAGTCAAATGTTTCTACCTCGCGCACAGGTGTGAACGGAGACATGAAACACGCAGCAGGCAGGCAGAGATACGGAGACGTCCTGAAAGTCCCTCCGGGGATTTAATTTGTTCAAATACGACTTCTAAAAGTCCAAATTACTCTCGCTGATTCTTATCAGTGTGTTTATTCACACTTTTCTGCTCACAGGATGTATTTTTCTGTATAAAGCATGTTTCAATGAATTTTACTAAGTACATTACTTACCAAAAGTTTAAAAAGGCTAACTCAGTAGTAACAGCTTTCTGAGTCAGTTTTATTGACAGACAAGTCAAAAAAATGCTGAAACACCAGTTCAGTATCTGTCTTAAAAGATTTAACATTCCTTGAGGGAAACTAAGATCCAAGATCATGTTTTGTTGAGAAAGTTTAAAAGTTTTTTTGTCAAACTGTGAAACCGGTCATGCAAGAATTCTCAAAGTGAACTCATTTTTTGTGAAATTGACTGAATGCTATAGCGTTTTCCATGGTGTTCAGTTGGTTGTGATGTCCATCTTCTAACAGGTTTGCTCCCAGTTTAAATCAGTTGTAGCTTCACATCTAACATTGATTTTATGAAAGCTTCATTAGGACTGGGCCACTGTTTCACAAGCTATTTTACCACCAGTCAGGCCWGCAAACACAAAACATTTAGTTTTTGAATTCAGTTTTTTGTCATCCAAAACATTTAGGAATTCTGAGGGAAGGGGAATGAATTTGCAAAGCAACCTGGCAAAAACACAAAATAAAAGTACAATATTTACCCAGCACCACCTCTCTGAGACTCCCACAGCAGGAACAGTTTAAAGCAGGGGCGCCCAAACATTTTCCCCAAGAGGGCCAAAATGAGAATCTATCCGGGGCTGCGGGCCAAATGCAGTAATACAATACATGAAATACAAATACTATTTTAGTAAAGTCCTTTATTTTGTAACAATTAAGCTAGCAGCTAGTGTGGTGGCCTGCTTTTGTTTTAGTCTGGGCACTTGGAGAAAATCTGCCATATGCTCAAGCAGCAAKGACTCATGGGGAAATTTCATAAATTGATAAAATATGCCTTATAAAGTGTGCAAATCTACTTGTGGGGTTAAATCTAATCTAAATATCACTTTTTACTTGTATTTCACATTTCYTATTTAATCTTATATCAAAGATAAAGTCAGAATCATGAGTGAAAACTATCTGTACTACAACCCCTTATATAGTCATTGGGCGAGTGGATAAAAAGACAGAGTGGAAATACTTTTTCTACATAGGACGACAGGTTACAACCTAGTAACAATGTCAACTGCTGGTGGGCCAAATCAAATGGCTTGGCGGGCKAAYTTTGGCCCGCGGGCCCCACTTTGGGCTCCTCTGGTTTAAAGGTTTTCTGTTGTTTATCTGTTGGACAGAATCTTCAATCGATCAGAAAACGACTTATGAGAAGACAAGACAAAGTTCAAGTAGTTGTTTACATTCGTTGGAAGCTAATTTAACTGTACAGCTGATTATTTTCTGAAATTCCTGCAGGAAAACACCTTCAGAATCCCCATGAGAACAAACAAATTTCTGCTCTAGAACCATTTATCCTGATCACACCTCCGTTAATCTGCTCCTTCCTCTTCATCTGTCTGTCAGGACTTGGTCAGTCCAAGTCGGCCCAGGCGCCGGCTGCGGTGGGGGAGCTGGCCCCCGCGGGTTTCCTGAAGGAGGTGTGCGAGCAGCTGAGCCTGACTCCGGTGGTGGTGGTCAGCCCGTCACTCAGCGGGATGTACTCCCTCCCTTTCCTGATGCAGCACCCGTCACTGATACGAGGATACGTCCCCGTCGCACCCATCTGTACGGAGAAATTCACAGCAGAGCAGTACCAGAGCGTAAAGGTGTGTGTGTGGACATGCTCCTGTTTGAAGAACTGTAGRAGTTGTCTGCACCTCCTGACTTTACAGCGTCACATCACAGGAATTAATGAAGATGCAGAGAAATTACTTTTAACAACGGGCAGGGATTCCCAGAAAGAGAAACCACTGGAAAGGTTAATCCCCAAATTTTCTTTACACGTTATTTATTTTTTCTTTTTAGGTTCCAGCGCTGATCGTCTACGGCGACCAGGACGCTCAGCTCGGGGAGGTGTCGCTCCGTAACCTGAGCAGTCTGTCCAATCACAAAGTGGTGGTGATGAAGGGGGCGGGTCACCCTTGCTACCTGGACGACCCGGACACCTGGCACAAAGCTCTCACAGACTTCCTGAGTTCGCTGTGAAAGAGCAGTAGAGAATCCCAACTTGTACAACACAAGGAGGCTTTAACAAATAAGAGATTTAGGCCAGAAAGTCCTGTGGAAGATGATTCTGTTTATTGATGCCTATCAATCAAATCCAAGCAGATTTGTTCCTCTTAAAGCCCTTAAATGTTTTAGGGAATATTGGTAAATAATAGTTGCCTTAAAGTGATCATTTTGTCGATTAATCATGTAGCAGCTTGTGTAGGAACTTATATCTGCAGAATAGCTCATTATTGCAACCTGGCCCTGGATTTACTGCCACCCTGTGGTTCATATTAGTCACTGCAGAATGTTTTTTACTCCATCATGAACCTGTTTGAAAGACACAAAACCTGTTCATCAGCATCCCTAAATATCTTAAAGGAACTTGCAGAATTTCTTTAGTTTAACCTACACCCGTTTATAGAGCTTATGTTGCAGCTAGATGACACAGAATGGACAAAAAAACTAAAATCTAAAGGTTTCATGTTGACACAGTTCTTCTCACTTGGACTGTTTTTCATTATGCAACACAAACTAGAGACTAAAATGTGCAAGAACTCACAAAACTAAGACTTTCACAATCAAACTTTCTCAGGATTGTGTCCCTTTAAAGCTGTGGTTCCCAACGGTGGGGGTCGAGACCCCTCTGTGGGTCATGTAACATCAAGTGAGGGTCCCCAGATGATTTCCTGCCATCAGTTTTAAACGCTAATAAATTTCTAATGGAATATTTTCACAATTAGTGCAAAAATAATAGAATAAATGATTAAACAGATTGTTATTAGACTTGTTTACATTGATATGCCCAAGTTTAACAGAGTTATTAGCTAAGTTAGCAGACGTAAACCAGTGATATCACAACTTTCTGCAACTGTTACTCTGTGAGCAAGAAGCTAAAATGGTTTGAAAACCACTGCCTTAAAGCATAACATGACTGTAAGGCTGTGTCTCAATTCAGGGGCTGCGTCCTTCAAAGTCTGCATTTGTTGATCGCTCACATCACATACGTCATGCGAAGACTAGACTCTTATTTCACAGCCGTTTTCTGTGGCCTACGTAGGCTGCAGTCCCTCAGTTGAGACACACAGCCTAAAACACCTTTATATGTCTGAAATATGAGTCCTGTGTTTCTGTGATGTGATTAATTTACTGTGTTGATCAGATTGTTTGATGCATGTGATGCAATTCTTCACAGCCAAAGAGCATCAGGAGTGATTTCTGTATTTGTTTCTCTCTAGAATCCTCTGCTGAGGTTGGGCTTTATAAAGAACAGCTGAGCTTTATAATCAAAACAAAATCTGTAATTTGAGGGTTGTTTTAAAGCGCACTTTGTACCTGCACTGTAAATCAGCTACGAGCGAATGAAACAAAACACACCATACACGAGTGACGTGAAGTGAAAAATATGAACATTATTTAATAACTGATTCTCTGTAATAAACAATTTGAAAATATTTTACAAGGAGTCACAGACACGATATTTTACAAATTTTTGCCCTCTTCTTTTTTTTTTCTTTCTTCTTTTAGCTTCATCTGTACAAAAGAATGGAGCGACATGGATCGGTGCCCAAAAAAAAAAGGAAAAAAAAGGAGAAGAGGCTAAAACTTCCACGCAAACAAACATTCACACCCACACAGAATTAAAAAAATCAAATCGAATAAATAAAAATACATTTCTTAAACTTACCAAGAGTGCTGTTTTCCTAGATATTTTTTTGTTCACTTTTAAGTTTGACAGGTTTATTGTATTTTTTCTCTAAATGTTGCTGTTTTTGAAGCTTTTTTTCTTTCTTTTTTTTTCTCCCAACACACTTGTCAAACATGATCACATAGCACCAGACTACAGACTACAGAATCACACGTCTTTCCCACAGAGACGCACCAACACAGAGGCAGCGAGGGTCGGGAGAGGAGGGGGGCGCTTCATTAAAACCCCTCCTGTACTTATTTTAAAATGACCCCTCCCTTTTATCCCCAAGCTGGACCAATTTTTTTTTCACACCCCAACTTTTTTTTAAATATATTTTTTAATCTTTTGTTTTTGGCAAAAAGTAAATCTGTCAAAACAGAGCGTGTACGATTTGTCTGTGAGTTTAGCTGCTCTGTGGAGACCCACTCCCTGAGCTTGCCTCTAAAATCCCACCTGTTCACTGAAAAAAAAAAGAGAAAAGAAAAAACCCACCTGGGGAGCGATGTCCCTCACCTTACTTCCGCTCTGTGTTTGAAATCTCCCAGCTGGGCATAAATAAGTGCCATTACATGTTTGCTTACAGGTGTGTGCGTGCATAATGTCTTCCTGCAGGTGCACAAATTGTAGCTTTATATATATATACTTTTTTTCTCTTAGTGATAAACCGTACAGATCCAGGAAAAAAGAGGAAGTTGCAGGGAGTTACATTTCCACAGGCACGTGTAGCGTTCATTTACAGACAGTGGAAATAATAATAATAAAAAAAACATTTCAAAATAATAATTAGAATAATGGCACAGGACGGAGACAAACAAATGCTAGAAAAGTCAAACTGCATCCAGCATCCAAACGACGCCGCAAAAAATAAAAAAAAATAAAATAAATAAATAAATAAAAAAGCCAAATTTGAAATCCTAAATTTAACAGTCTCTTCTCTTTAAACGTTTCGCTCTCCTCAGGCTTGTCGAGACCTGAGCTGCAGTTCCTGTGCCAGCACGATTTGTCACATCGACGACTGTACAGAGTGTAAGGTTCAAATTTGTTTGCGCGAGTCATTCCCACCTGAGCTGTACAGTGAGGTTTTTTACTTATTTATTTATTTATTTTTTTGAGTGGGTGTGAACACCAAAAGGTCAGAGGCTTTTAAAACGGGAAAAAACTCCCACCCGCTCGCAAAGCATTTAATTAAACAGGCATCAATCAATACTGGGCTCAGATGTGGGAAAGAAYGAAAAGAGAAAATACGACTGGAGCTCACTGTACTTTCACTGCGTAACACCAAGAAAAGCCAGAAAAGGGAGTGCCTCAAGGTTGGTTTGAGGTGAAAAACAAGAGGGGGGTGCGGCGGCGGGTACATGTGGGGGTATCAGAGCTCTGCGTCGAGTAACACTAAGGCATTTAAAGAGGCTTTGATAACTATTCAAACAGAAAACACTGACACATTCTTCCACTTGTTCTCCTCTAGATCAACACGTAAGTAGACCGATACATAGGTGGATCGTTTTGTTTTAAATCACATCCCCTTTTCTCCACCACAACAACAAGACTATGACACCCACTCGGACACACACACACACACACACACACACATTCAAACTCTTTTTTTAAATGTTTTCTCTGAGGGCTTTTTAAACACATCCACACACAGAAACCAGGCAGAGCAGTAGCAGTCAGGTGGCCCTAAAAGAACAAACGAAACACTCTATGGCCTGTTTAAGTCGCTGTATACTGACAGTGTATCGTAGCTCTATACATGGTTCTGTAGAGGAACGGTGTAGTAGCTCTATACGGCGGCAGACAGGAGGCTCCGGAGGAGAACAGCAGCGACAGCCTAGAGGGAGGAAATACATTAAACTGTGAGCCGATTAATGCGATGGCTCATGTAAAGCTATTTTAGTCTCCTGTAGCGTCCAAAGCCTCAAACATGGCTGCTTTATAAAGGTACTATACAGTAGCTCTACTAATACACAGCCGATGTGTACGAAAACAAAGTGCGTCAAGGCACTATGAAACAGAGTGGCTCCTAAAAAAATGGGAGTCTAAAACTCAAACTTTCCACACGTTGCAAATAATAAATGACCAACTGTGACTGTGACGGTTACTGATCCCCCGTATTTACTGGCCCCCCTCTTTTTGCGCCATAGCTGAAAATGTCGATAAGCCCCTATCCCCCAGCAGCGGATGGTTTTTGGAGTTAAAACAGCATCAGTCAAAAAGAAAAGAGTAAGAGACCCCCCCCCCCCACAAAGAAAAACTGAAACTAAAATAAAACGTGTTTGGCCCCTCCCAAAGAGAGCAACAACAAATAAACCTCCCCTGGAACTTCAGCGAGGTTTTCGTGTGCGACACGACCAAAGCACATCGACGACAGCRGTGATTAGGAACATCGGTGAAGAAGCCTTGTGAGGATTGGCAGAGGTGAGTTTCTATTTTTTTATTTGATTAGATTTTTTTTTTTCCGTTAACATCAGTTTAAACTCGAGGTCAGGATGGTCGATCGTAAAAGAGAAAACTACACGACATCAACAATGTTCCTGCAGCAGCTGAGCACTGATTCCGATTTTACAGCCAGAAAACACCCCGGCGTTTTAAGAGTAAATACGAGAGAAAACACTTCAAGAAATATGATTACCATCACATAATTACAATAATCCCCAGTGGACCTCTTTTTTTTAAGCGTTAATCTGTAATTAGATGCTGCACAAAATGAGTCAGAATTCAGCTGCTGAGTGTCTCCTCTTCCTCTCATGATTTTATCCTAAATCTAAAACCACTTCCTCTTTGTGTTTTTGGCTATAAAAATAACACCGCATGAAGGTATTTCTCGTTTTGGCAAGTAGATATAGCGCACAAATTGTCTTTTTTTAAACACTTGTCAAATTAAAACCTAAATACACTGTATGTTTGGAATACTCATCACTTCTGCAAGAAAACCTATAACCGCTTGTATACTTGACAGTTTGGTGTTATTTTTTTGTTTTTTGTTTTGTCTTCTATGSTGCTAGAACTGGCTGAATGATCCACGACTGTATGCGAGAGGCAGATGGTGAGAGACTGAGATGAAGGACAGAGAGGAGGAAAAAGTCCTGCCGTCAGAGGAGGTAGAGGCGGACAGATGACCTCGAATCTCCAGTTTTGTTTTGTTTTTTTAAGGTGGGAGAACCTGTCCTAATCCCCCTCCCTTTTCTGGGTGGACGTGGAGTTGGGGTGGCCATGAAAGGAGGGGTTGCTCTCTCTTATTGGAGTTGCCTCTGATGGTCCGTGTGGTTTAGAMGGGAGGAGGAGGAGGAGGAGTCCGGCTCAGAAACATCTTGAGCTTGGTAGTCTGTTACTAGGGGCTTCCAACTTGCTGTGATGGGAAGTCCCACTATATGAACCGGTGGGGTGTAGGAGACTGTGGTTGGAGATGGAGGGGTTTCGGGACAGGACAGAGGCTCAGGAGGGCTAAAAGGAGGATAACTGTGGGAGAGTGGAGTTAATGTAATAGTGAGTGAACGTAGGGGCTGATGGACGGATAAAGCAGAAGCAGCTGAAACAGCAATAAAGCAAAGAGAGGCGGACGGAAGGAATGACCTCTCCCACAGTCCGACGTGTTCTCCTGCAAAAAAGAACAAAAAATCTGGTAATCACACAGCTTCTATATAAGAAAAAATAACTTAATTACATCCTGAAGCATGTACTTTTTTCATTATCACAATAATTTATTCTAAATGAGCTGGACTAATCATCTAAAATGACGACTCCCTGCCCCTTTTACCTTCCAGGTTTGTGACTTATGTCAAGAGTTACGTAACGAGCGCTACACCAACAAGAAGATACAATAAGCATGTTTTCATTGACATTTTCTGAAAAGGGCTCGGGGCTGTAAAAACCCATCTGCTGCAGGAAGTCATTGAGCGAGGCAGCATTTAAAATACAGAAGCAACTCCTGAGTGTTTACTGTGAGTCAGGTGCAGATAGGTCCCAATTAACAAAGATGCTTTTGTGTTTGTTCAGAAAAAAAATTGCTAGTTATTTAATGAAGCAAAAATATATCTGAACAGTTTTAGACTTTAGCTGCCTTTCCACTCTGTTTTAGCCCAGTACTTAACCAGAGGAATGATTGTTTGTAAATGGCTTGAACTTATATAACACTTTATCAAGTCCATACGGACCCCAGGGTGCTTTACACTTCACCCATTCACACACTGATGGTGGTAAGCTACATTGTAGCCACAGCTGCCCTGGGGTACACTGACAGAGGCGGGGCTGCCATGCACCGGCGCCACTGGACCCTCTGACCACCATCAGCAGGCAAGGTGGGTGAAGTGTCTTGCCAATGGACAGAACGACTGAGACGGCTGGACGGGGGATCTAACCAGTGACSTTCTGATTCCAAGATGACTCCACCCTAGCCCCTTAACTTTGATCTATCTATTCAGGCTGAAATTATAACACCTTAGCAAAAAGGAAAAAAATAACATATTTGTAGCTACTTTGTTAACAACAATCTGCAACACAAACACAATTTGTTCCCATTTTTTAGCCATTTCTTTAAAAATATGAAATATAACACAGTTTGACATTAAATAGCATTTGAAACATCAATAGTCAAGAGCTATTAGCTTAAAGCAGTAGACGATCAGCTGAAGAATGATGCATCGTTTAAGCCAGGTTCTCAGTTATTTCTTGTCATGTCCCCCCAGGGAACTTAAAGTTTTTCACGCCCCTCCTGAATTGAAATACTAATGAGAACCTGGCAATATTTAATTATCTGTACAAACTGTATGACTCTCTGACACCAGCATTCTGCATATAATCACCTTATTATAGTAGGGGAAACTGCATTATGTAAAACAAGTATTATTATCTCTTACCTTTTAAATTTGTTTATTTAGCTGCATTAAATCGTTCATCTTGAATTGATTTCAAATCTATTTTTYTATTAAAAAAAACGATTTTTTTTACTTCAGGATTTGTGAGATATCCTGATTTTCCTGCTGCTCCTTTTTCAAGGTCAGTGAATTCTTAAAATAAAATAAAAAAGTTGACACCTGACACATCAATGTGTTCCACACCCCACTCTTTGAGATGCCTTGTTTCAGGTTCTGTTACTCTGCTGTAGTTGTTTTCAGGCCTGATRCCTCTTCTTTTGTCCTCTACAGTACTCATTTTCTGAGCACATGCTACAGAATCTGATGAAGCGCACAGTCTGGACCGAAACTGAGTGAGAAAGCAGCCAAAACCCCGTGTCCAAGTTTGATGAAATTAGTTGAGCAGGTGGTCTTTTTAATGTGCCGCAGCACACGTTTGTCTCCACGTTGCTATAAGAATGTGCCAACATGTGGAGCAAACTACCTCTGAATGTGCTCTGATCAATCAGATCTCAGTGCATCTTCAATATATGTCCTGAATGTGGAGCACTTAGTTAGATTTTTTCTTTTTTTCTATATTCTATTGACACACACACACACACACACACACACACACACACACACACACACACACA